CTGGAATCGCAACAGTGGCGAAGAGGGAATGACGGCGGCAGTGATGAGGGATGTGGGGAAGTGTTGGACAGCAACAGGACAAATGTCTGGAGCGGTGACATCGAGAGCGGGTGGCTAAAACTGGAGAATTGCAAAGAAAACACCAAATAGGAGTCGTTCGAGGTGGCTACAACAATGGAGGGCGGCCATGAGCGACATGGAGCTGATGCAGAAGGGAATATAGACGATAATCACTGCCTCAGAAACGAGATGCAGCTACAGCATCACTTGAACCCTTTGATATAGCCCTCAAAAAGAAAACACAAATGTCGGCGGCTATCTCGAACAAAAACTAACCCTAAAACATCATGAAAGTGAATATATAATAAAAAGATAACTAGCAGTGACCCGAGAGGACCATCGACTCCTCAGAAGAAAGAAAGACTTGGACAAGTTCAATCTAGGTGAGTGGGAGGACCGCCATCTCGATGATGCAAAAATCCGCATCACCCGCTTCGCAAGATTTCCACCCCAGACGCCCATGTCAAAATCACTACAACTTCATGCAACAAACTAAACTTAGGCCCTCACATACTTAAAACTAACTCAAGAAGTAAACCTTAGGCAAGCGAGAGATGGGAAAAGCACTCCAAAGAATTTAACCATCAATATAATTTTCCATTTTCAGTCTATGCATATTTTGTTTTTAGTAGTTAAAAATGACTCATTTTCCTCTCACGCGGGAAGACCGTTACAAAATCTAGAAGGTCATTTTAAGTGTTTAATTTTTTTAAAATTATGATAAGGCTATAACTGTTTGGACTTTCCTAGCCCGTATAAAGCCTAGACCATCTTAATAATACATAAACATGAAAACATAGGACGGTCATGGAAGTTTTAAGTTATCATACCAAGCATAGGCTTTCTTTATTATAATAACTCTTTTTTTCCCATGACAAAAACCAAGTGCTATAATAATCAACAAGGAAATCAGCTCAACTTCATTAAATCTGCTATGAAGTTTATGTCTGATATCATAAAGGCCATGACTAATCCTACAGCTTCAAGTAAACACCAAAAAGGCCCTCACAATAAGTAGATATATGCGGCCCTCACTTTGAACATCAACAAAAGAGCTTGAATCTTGAATGGAAGATGTCAGCCATTACTATTATCCCAAAGCCTTTGCTAAAATTTTTGTTGCCTTCATTTTCTTTACGAAGGAATAGAATTTGGGTAGAACAGTAAAACATAGAACTTTGGTGGACATTGCAGTGGAGGATCCAAACCATTTAAACCATTCTTGTTCTGGCCATCATGAAGAAACCGCATGAAAGCTTGGCAGGCGGCAGCAGTTATTCAGAGAGGCAATAGCATCAAATAGCATCAAATATCATATATAAAAAAATAAAAAAAACTACATCCTTTGAACAATCAAGCTGAGATGCATGGAAGACATAATATAACTCGGTCATCTTTGCTATCTCCTCATTCTTCAAGAAAAGGGTAGCCAAGGCAAAAAAGACATAAAAATTCACTTTCTGATATGGAGAATAAGGTATATTAAAAGAATGATGTAATTAAAATAAGTAATTTAATTATGAGACTAATTCCAACACTACACTCAAGTGGTTAACCCCTTCCTATAAAAAATAATTATAAATAAAAATAAAAGAGTGGTTGACCCCTTCCTCCTATTCATTCCACATTTAGAAGTTAGATTTGCTTTTGAATTTAAATTGTTTAAAGATGTATACAATTATTTAAAATGCGGCAATTCTAACATGAATAATGATAATCTTCCCAATCAAACTTAAACTTATAAGGTACTTCTTTTTTACTAAATTAATTTAGATACATAATAATGCTATTTTTAATGCTCTCAATCCATGGTTATAGGAACATATTAGATATTATGATAACACTCTTAACCTTCTCTTCATAATACAAAATCACTTATTAAAAAATAGTAATTGCAGATATGTATCTTAAAATTATGTAAGTAAGCACTAATGCATCCATCAATATAACAAATTATTTATTTGTACAGTTAAAAACTATATGAAATTATATATTGATAAATACATTAGTGCTTAGTTTAAATTTTAAAACTGAGCTTAAAATAAGTGTAGGAACATATTAAATTGCAACAACATTATGCATTTTCTTAAAGAAAACCAAGGAAACCTGCCATGAGATGATGAACCAGCTCTTCCAACACCCTGACACATAAAAAGTACAATGTCAATTATGATTGAAGTGGCCCTGTATGGGCAGGAAGACTGACCGGACAGTGGTTTGGACCGGCAAACACAAGTTCTAACACCTCTGTTTTGGCTAGGTTGAAATGTCTGAATCACATCAATTATTCTATCAAGGCATTCTAATAATCAAGATTACAATAATAAGTTATGGTATCATAATTTCCTAAGAGGATCCTCAATCAAGAACTGAGAACAGGTTAGCGAATCATTTCCTTAATCAGAAATAGCAGTAAAGTGAAGCATGCAAATCTTAACTACCCAAAAATAAAATATTATAGAATTATATTATTAATTGATTAATCAAGCTATGGACATTAAAGGATGTCAAGCTTAGTTTCAATGACAAGGCTCCATGACGCGGGAGCTTTCCGCCAGTAATCGCGGATCCATTTTGCCTTTTTAGCTTCCCTCTCTCTCTTTTCACTCCCTTCCATAAAGAGTCTCCTCCCTATTCATTGCCCACATTATCCACCAACATCTAATTTTATCCTATTTCAAATTCCTTCATTTTTCATCCCACCCCCTTCTTTAATTCTTGTCTAGCCTATGTATTTGTAGTGATTTTGAATTTCAGTAATAAATATATTGTTTTCTATTACGGCTTAGCCTTTTCTCCGATATCATTTAGTCTCGGAGCTACCCAACCCTGGTCATAACCTAGGGTTCTCTAGATCCGCCCCTACCCAAACCGCCCCCACCAAAATCTTACTGCTCCAAAAGCTTCGACGAATGAGGTCGAGGCTTCACAACCCCGAGAGGTGGACGCGGGAGCTTTGCGCCCGCGGTACTATAGAGGTTGCAGTATCGCGGACGCGGTTACTGTACCTATTATAGGAACCGCGGGCGAAAGCTCCCGCGTCAATCTCTCGGGATAGGAAAGCTTTGACCTCATCCTTCTTGCCATTTCAGCTTTCCCCTCTCTCCTTTTCACTCCCTTCCATAAAGAGTCTCCTCCTTATTCATTGTTTAGTTTATCTACCACCTTCCACTTCTATCCTATTTCAAATACTTTCCTTTTTCATCCTAGCCCCCTTTGATTCTTTCCTATTCAATCTCCTAATCTCTCCTATTTATAGGTTTTGTTTTCTGAAAACCAAGCAGCTTTAGGATGTGTGGAGAATTCTAAGCTCTGCCTTTGAGGCGTTCTTCCCCTCCATGGGCTATACCTGCGACGAGAACGTGCCTCGGTCGTAACTCGTCTGAGGTGGTAACCGTCTCCAAGGATCCAAGTAGTGATCCATCTGTAGCTCGACCCCGACGAGACATTTATCCTTCCGCAGCCCCCTCCGACCCAGCTTTCCACAACCGCCAACCATTTCCAGGCCTTCGATCCGCTACCCAACCGCCATCCACCACTTCCACTTGTTGTTGCCCACCTCCCTGCTCCCCAATACCTATTGTACACTCCCTGTTTTCCCCTACCGCCGTCTTTAAGTCCATGTCTAGCTGTTGTCATCACCCTCACAGCACCCCGTCGGCTGTAGTAACCTCATTCCAGCCTCCTATTGCACCTGTCTCCTCCAACCAATCCCTTGACCTACTGCCCAGCCGCTGTCCACCACCCTAACCGCCAACCTAGGATGTCTTCCGTGTTTGCATTGTTGTTATTCTCCTATTATCAATAGTCGATGTTTGTAGTCCTTTTGAATTTCAATAATAAAATTATCGTTTTCTCTTATGGTTTGGGCTTTTCTCAGATATCACTCCATTAGCCATATGGATGGGCGTCTAAAAGCATATTCCAAATAAAGAACAGCCTATAGCTTTATGGCATTTAATATGCACATCCTTTGTCACCTAATCCTTTTGCATGACTTACTACTCCAGTAAACAGCTAGCTCAACTGTTTGTTGAATGCTCGTTTGACCATAAATAAGTGCATACCTTCAAGCAATTCAAACTATTTTTATCATCAAATTTACTTGGTTCACATGGAATGCTTCCAATAAGAGCAGAGAAAAAGCTGTAGTAATCCAAGTTTGCCTCTATGGTTTTAAAAGATAGATTGGAGTGTTTTGCTAATAGAATATTAATTCCACCAAACAATATATCTTATATTAGGAGAAAATTCTCAATAAATGCATTGAGGTTTGGGGATTTTTTGCTTGTAAATTTGTAAATTTATAATGGAAAATATTATTTTCTAATTGCAGTCCAATTTTATAATTCTCTTATAGAACACTTAATTTTTCATCCAAATCCAAGGTTACACAAATCTATGCCAACTGAACTTTTAAACCAACCAGGACATTTCCAAATCAAACAAATCCCAACATACATCACAAAATAAATCCAAAACAACTTTTAAACACATTTTAGTTTAAATGCTCTCTAAACTATTTATAAAACAAAATTCCATTCCACATAAACCGTTCATTCTTTTTATCATTTTATCACCATATGGAGAAATATTGACGTAATCGAAGTATCAGATTAGCCCGCCATTGGTTAATAACTTCAGAGCAGAGTTAGATAAAATTTATACAACAAAATTTAGTAGTATAACTGTGCACCGTAGACTAGTATTACGTTGCAACAGCAAGAATATGTAAGGTGAATTCACTTTAAAAGTTAGAGTCTGAATCGAGTAAGTACGATATTTAAATTGCTTCGAAATTTGAAGCATGCCGCATCCGAACATATTTTCAAATATATCTACTTAAATTTCGGATAAACAACTGCATCAGAATTGTTTCCAGTATATTTTATAGGGCAATCTGATAGCTTCAAAATATCAGGACAAAGGTGCCAAACTACCTGGCAGTGATGAGTGAGGAGTCTCCCGCAGAGATATGACCGGCACTGGAAATATCCCATAGTCCGGGCCAGGAGTCCTTGCAATCGGCGCGACGCTGAAGGAGCAGTTCCCGCGTGCTCTCCGAGTATATCCACACATGAACGGCCCGGTGGTAGTCGCCGTCCCTGTGCACAAGTCCCCTGTTCAGGATCACGAACGAACGTGACATGAGCGTTTTTGAAGTAAAAAAGGAATACGATGGCAACACATATAAAATCGGTAGGAAAAGTGTCGGACCTTGGCTTGGAAACCCCGGTCTTCTCGCCAGTCTTCGTGAGCACGTCAAGGAGCTCATCGTCTTGCGAATGCCGTGTGGCCTCCTGTGCCATGGATGGAGATTCTCCGGCCGTCCGGCGCAGAGAGTGACAGAAAGAGTGAAGAAAATGGGGGGCCGTCCGGCGAGAAGAAGGATGGAAGGAGATCGGCGGCAGCACTAGTACCGCATTTAGGCCCACTTTATTTCGTCGAGGAAAAGATAGAAAAATTCGGACCGTAGTGTTTGTTAGGAGGCCCGTAGATTTGGATGATGAAATCACTAGCAATCACTATTAAATTTATGGGATAATTACATTCAGGGGACCTAAAATATTACTATTTACAGATCAAGCACCTAAATATTTTTTTATACTATAAAACATGCATTTAACATAAATCCAATAAAATATAAAAAAAATTGAAAATTAAATCCAACGCTCTCTTAAATCGATATTTTTTTGTATTTTTTGTTTTCTTTCAACATTTCGTCTCTTTTATGACGTAAATTCGGATTTAATAAATCTGATTGTGAGACAAATTCAAGAATTTCTTCTTGTAGTCGCTCGCAAGTTCATCTTTGACTCACTACCAATCGGATTTACTAGATTTGATAAATCTTATTGTATTTCAAAAATATGTCTGCACAAACCTTAAAAGAAATATATCAGCGGGCAGAAGAGATGATGTAGCATCCTGAGACCCGCTGAGGACAATCTAAAATCTCGCGTCAGACCAGCTGCCTCATACAATCCGAAAGAAATATAATCTCCAGACGAACATAATTCAACCATTCTCCTAAAATTCCACTAGCACAGGACTCCTACGGGTTAGTCCGACAACTTATTCTCTAGTCAGGTAGGGCGATCGAGCCAAACCATCGGGGTCTGGAGCAGTCGGCTGGAGTTGTCTAGCCCGTCTTTTCAAGCATAAGCCCTCAATAAATAACATAATCGATAGCGTCTTTGGGACCACTATGAATGGCTGTCAGGCCCCAAAAAGACCGAGTCAATGTTGTCATAAGCTCTCGGCCCTATCCGATCAAACATTGTCTCAGCCCTATCCAACTAGGCATCTATATAGGCTCTCGGCTTTATATTTATGCACTGACCAAAATAACCTCGTTATGTCTATAAATTATAGGGTTACAAAATGAAAGTGAACACCCCCATCCATATTAATAAGGGATTCATTTCTTGAATAAGGGTTATGTGATTATTGTTTTGTACTTTGCTTTGTTCTCTTGGTTCTCCTCCCTCTCCTTTTCGTGATATATTCCTTAGGTATTTGTCTCAAATAATTTTGGATTTAACATCCTAGATGGTGTGGTGAATGTGCAATCATAACATCAACAAAAAGAGAAGCACTGTGATCACAACGAGAGGAGATCTTCCGTACATAAAACGTGGAAGAAACAAGGGAAGTGGTGGAAGAGCTCGTGCAAGGGGGAATACAAGAAATGAGGGCCCAAATAATGGACTAAGTGTCGGGCTAGATTGTTGAAGTCATAAGAGTCCTTATCGCTCTGAGGGAGAGTCAGCCTCCAAGGAAGCAGCATCAGCACCTGACAACTACTTTATATATGCAAGAATTTATGAACACACATTTATATATTTATAATGATTTTGTAAAGTCACAATTTCAAACACAAGTATACGTATCGCTCAAGTAATACAGGGCTCTAGTGGAGTCTTGTTTATCGATCCTACAGGAAAGCGAGGTAAGAGGTCCTTAGTCAAATTCTAATCTACTAATATTTGTCCTTAGTTTGGAAGTACGATTTAAGAAGTTTTACTAATATATACTCTTAAATGTAAGTCTTAAGTTTAACACAACTAATAACTACTCCAAAATGCAAATATTAATTCTAAAGATAACCCTTTTTGGATGAATTGATTTGGAGAATTTTGAGATATTAAAAACAACTATTCTTATGTAATGAATTGGATAATGTAAAGGAATGAGATGAATTAAATATTGTATGTACCAAATAGGAGCAATAATATTCTTTACACTTTGGTCCAGGCATAAAGAACATTGACTAATCATATAATTGTTTATTGAATCTGTGATTAGGCTAGGAGGATATCGGCTCTCACTTCAGAGCTCCCACGTTCCCCTTGTCTGAGGGCTAACATCTCTGCTTTAGTACTCAAACAATAGGACCAAATTAAGGATTTTAGTCTGTCACTCTAAAATCTCCAATTTTACACCCATTAAAGTATATTTCCCTATTTATTTTCATTCAACTCCCACGAACTTAACCATTCATGGAATCTGAATGTGGTTCTACTTTGTTGAGAATTACACAGCCCTCTCGGGTCTTAATGCAATTACAACGAATTTTAACATTACAACAGACTTTTATTGTAATGTAAATAAAGTGAAAGTAAAAACCATTACATTTATAACTAAATCTGATTCTAGTATGCATCACAAAATCCTAAATTACAAAAGAAAAGTAAAATGAAAACAACGGCATAATCTTTTCATACCATTATTTCCAAACAAGAAGAGAGAGTGAGAGAAACACATCACAAAACATGAAGAAAACACACGAAAAACTTCATTTCATCAAAGCAAATTCACTAGATAATTTTTTACAAAATCATAAGATAATAAAGAACACAATACTTAATTTTTTCTCTTGAAAGAAAGAAGAAAATCTCTCCTAAAAAGTCTCCCGCCAATCCATGCAATGCTAGAACATCTCCTTACAAATTCTCTCAAAATTCCCTCTTCAATCTCTCCAAAATGGTAGAAATCTATATTTCTACTCCTATTCTAAGAACCCTAAACATTCTCCAAGTTTTTCCTAACATTTCTCCTCAGAAAAAAAACCTCTTATAACCGACATTATAACCGCCACTTTTCTAACCTAAATTCGTTCTTTTAAAGTGTAGAGACAAAGTTTGAAGAGTTGTCACAAGAAACCTTTCTAAAAGCGTCCAAATTTCAATCAAATTAACAATTTAATCATAACATACATACATACATACATATATATATATTCATAGTCGTCCCGGGAGCCGTCGGCTAAATTTTCTGTCATTTTTTGGTCTTCTCGAGTAAATCTCGCCGTCGGCGCCGTTTTGGGCGCCGTCGGCGAGCAGACTGCGCAGCTCGACCGTTTCACTCCGTTTGACTCCGTTTTAGCTTTGTTTCGCCCCATTTCAGTTGTGTTGTGTTTCTAACAGATAGCCCTACAAAATAAGCATGAAAATAATCTTCCTTTAAAGTATAATCTCATTTAAAAATATGCAAGAAGTGTAAAATAAATTAAGCATCAAAAGACTTATCGAAATGTGACAAGGCAAAATTTCATTTCTCACGGCAAAATTTCATTTCTTGCTAGTTTTTACTCTAAATTGCACCGTTTTTTTTTTCTTTTTCTCCAAAAGTTCATTTCTTGTACCGAAAACCAAAAACATGCAAAATACATTCCTTTAAAAAACAATATCACTAAAATTAAGCATAAAATGTATATAAAAAATCAAGTATTTTTTATGCGTGTCAACGCCTAACTGTATGAGAGTAAAATACAGTTGTGTGTCAACGCCTAACTGTATGAGAGTAAAATACAGTCCAAAATGGGCAGAGGAGTTACAGTATCAGGATAGTGTTGGGTCAACGCATGTAAAAAGGCAATGAGTTTGGCGCACGGAGGCTTTGAGCAACCAGATAACTCATTCTCCCACCAATTATTGGGGGTCAAGCTCCCGAAAAAGTTCAAACTACCAGTTTTGGAGGCCTACAAGGGTCTATTGGACCCGATCGACTGTTTTGCTTCGTTTGAGTCGATCACGTAAGATCTCTGATGCATTCAAGTGGCGTATGTTCTTCACCGCTTTGACATCGTCAACCTTGAAGTGGTTTCACTCAATGTCAACTAGAATCATCAACAACTTTGTTGATTTCAAGGGATTTTTTTTTTTTTGCAAATTGTCGTCACCTAGAAACCCACAAAAATACGTGCAATCCTTGTGGAAACTCAAGCGAGGTCAACACGAGAGCCTGCACTCATTCATTTCATGCTTTCAGAAGGAAATGTTGGAGGTGAAAGGCCTCTGAATTGATGTAGTCCAAGCTTATATCAACCAGGATTTGAGGTCCGAGAGCTTTTCATATGACACCAGTCTATAAGATCCCGAGACTTGGTTAAGCTATTGGAAATGGCCAATAAGCACATCCTCGCAGAAGAGCACACCCTCAAGAGAGAATTAGAAGAGCGCCAAGTCCATAAAAGAGCTCTCGCGAGCGACAAGTCAAAACCAAATGAGGACCAAAGACCGCTCATAAGGCATCAGTATGAAGATGATCAATCCTCTCACAACAACAAAAGGTCTGGTCAATACGAACATCATGTAGTTCAGGCAAAGAACAATGATTTGTGATCAACATAGTACTATGAAAGGTCAACACAATGTTATGAGAACTCATACAGTGAGTTCAAGGGCCTATAGGTTACTCCATTAAGGTTATGAATGAAGCAGATTGTCAAAGCCATCCAAGCAAGGAGTACTCTGAAGAAGCCATGTTGATGAGAGCTGGAGGTTTTCTTTAGGAGATAAAGAAACATTTTAAGTATCATTGAGATTGCGGTCACAACAAAGAGGAGTGCAGACACCTCTAGAATCTCATCGTGGAGTTGATCAAGGCAGAGAAGTTGGAGTTTGTGGCTTAAGGAGACCCAGGTCAGAGACACAACAATGATGCAACCATGGAAACTCCACAAAGCCTCGTTTTGAAGAAACTTTGTGCACATCATTGTGAGTCTCGACCATTTTTCAGAGGAGCTGAGTCCTCTAGGTGAAGCTCCAATAAAAGGTCCATAAGTGGGGAACTGTGTAATCTCGCGCCCGTGCTAAAGAGGGGGAGCTGCCCTCCCTTCACATTCACGGGCAAAATTTTGTTCCACTGAGGGAACCCCTATAATGAAGCAATCATTGTAAAGGGAATAATCAACAACTTTTGAGTTGGAAGAATCATTCTAGACATTGGCAGTGTTGTGAACATTTTGTTCAAGTCAGTGTTTATTAAGCTTAACCTTCAGACGGACTAGCTGGTACCGCCGAGTAGTCCACCGTATGGCTTTTCAGGTGAAAGGAATGAGGCTCTAGTGCAACTTCACTGAAGGTTACCTGAGAAGAAAGCGAGAAGAAGTTCACGGAGACTTAGATTTTATATCAACCTACAATGTCATCTTTAGGTGCCCACTGCTGTCAGAGGATACATGGAGCAGTCGCAGGTC